AAACCTGTCTCTTATACACATCAATCAGATGGGCCCCACATGGATCTTGGGTGCAGAATCCGGAGGTTTCCTCAAGGATAGCACATGTGGTACCCATATGGGTCAGAAAATATAGGTCCCATATGGGAAACCTATATGCCACCCACATACAAATTAATGTGGGTTCCATGTGGGCCCCAAATGGTTTATATCTGGGCTATGTGGGCTAAATCATATGGGTCCCACATGGAACTTGGGTGCAGAATCCGGAGGTTTCCTCAAGGATTGCACATATGGTACCCATATAGATCTGCATATGGGCACCATATGGGTCCCTTATGGGCTTGTTACCTGGGACCCTTTGATGTCCCAAGATGTTCCTAGATTGCGGTGTGTGAGGCGAGCGTCTGAGTATAAAAACTGGTTATTTTTATTATTTTTTAAGAGAAAGCTGGCCTAAATTACCTATTCCAAATTTTGTTTTTACTCTGTCGTTCAGTTACTGGGGATAATTTTTATATTTTGAATTTGAGAGAGGGTCAGGACCGTCTGACCCACTGGCCCCCACTGATGATCCCTTCCTCCCTCTCCTGTTAATTCCCAATGGTTAATGATTGAGGTTACGAGCCAAATTGAAGACTTACAAACCAGTATTGAGTAAAGGTTTGTAAGTCAGTATAAACCAAATTGTTTTATACAGTTCTTAATTGAAATCTTTAAAGGATTCGATGTTATAATTGAATTCATTTTAGGACTATGCAGAAATTGACTACGGATACGATATCCGTGATAGTTATTTTCATAACTCTATGTCTTTATTTGTTTTTATTTGGAAAGATATGATAGAAATAGTACATATAGAAACAAGGAAACAATTTTATCATAAAGTGCCAGTCATAACAAATCTTAAAACACATAAAATCGGATAAATTGATGGCTAAATTCCATCGAGCAATGATATTTCTATGACTATATCAAACAGTAGAATGTGAAACGGTATGTAAGAAGTGCAGGTCTACATATAAATGTAATCCCAGATAAAACTTCTACTTAATAATAACGGGTTTTTTTTTTTTGTAGAACCATAAGAACGCATTTATGACGTAATTTCACAACTTTTTTCTGGCATACCTATTCAATAGTAACATTTTATTTTTTAGACTTAATGTATAGCAACGAAAAAGCAAAATATAGTTGGATAAATTGAAAAAATATTGTCTATGAAATAATGTCGGTAAACGTTAGGGGAGGTTGGTGACAACTGTTGGGCCGACGTTGGTTAGTAGTTGTAAATTTCAAACGTTTACCAACGTCGGGCCACTGTGATGTTGCGACAACGTCTATAATAAATCATACATAATATTTAAACCTCTAAACGTCGGCCCAACGGTGGTACCCAACATTTATTTCAAACGTTTACCGATGCCGGGCCAACAAGGTACTTTGACGTTGCGACAACGTCTATAATTATATATATTATGGAGGTTGGTTACAACCGTTTGGTCGACGTTGGTTAGAGGTTGTAAATATTAGATGTGATTATAGACGTGGTCGCAACGTCACAGTACGCTATTGGCCCGACGTCTGTAAACGTTTGAAATGGAGGTTGGTTGCAACTGTTGGTCCGACGTTGGTAAGAGGTTGTAATAAATATTAGGATGTGATTATAGACGTTGTCCCAACGTCACGGTACTTTGTTGGTCCGACGTCGGTAAACGTTATTGGAGGTTGGTGACAACAGTTGTGCCGACGTTGGTTAGAGGTTGTAAATTTCAAACGTTTACCAACGTCGGGCCAAAAAAAAAAAAAAAAAACGTCTATAATAAATCATACAAAAAAAAAAAAAAAATTGGTTCGTGTGGGAAACGAACACACAACCACCAGGTTTGCTATTCATTATCCACAAACAACTAAACTGCCTTAAAAAAATGGTTCGTGTGGGAATCGAACACCCACCAGGTTTTGCTATTCATTACCCACCATCCACTAAACTGCCTTTAAAAAAAAAAATTGGTTTGTGTGAGAATCGAACACACAACCTCCAGGTTTTCTATTCATTATCCGCCATCAACTAAACTGCCTTAAAAAAAAAAAAAAAAAAAAAAAAAAAAAAAAAAAACTGTCTCGTGTGGGAATCGAACACACA